AGTACTGCAGGAGTTTAGAGATGTTTGGAGCTCAGCTAAACTGAAAGCTTGGTTATATGCCTCGTATCTAGTGCATTTGTGTTCCGAGTTTCTGCTTTTCTATTCTTGTTCTGTATTTTTGGAAAGTGTCAGTAGAGTGTGACGAGCTGGACACCCGTTCGAAGTGTGCACCAAGGAAGTTCGCCTGATCTTCGAAAGTATCACCCTGTGTGTTTACGAGTGGAAGTGTGTGTACTTGTCTTCCTGCTACCCTACCAACCATGCTCCAGACTTTAGCCCGACATCCCTGACAAAAACTTCATCCCTGACAAAAACTTCTGCCAGCTTTCTCTTCTGGCCTGTCTACGCGTTCTCCTGCCTTGAGACTTTATTTTCTTGAAGGTGCCAAGATTTTCGGCTATCGGTGAGTTCCGAAGCAACCTCCATGCTCTGTTTTGCGCGCGTTTCGGCATTCAGAGTTCCTCCATGGCACACGCCGTTTTCCAGGGTGTCCATTTGTTTGTGGGGTGCATTTTGTTACAGCAATCAAAAACGCTGTGAAGTAGTTCACAGCAACATCAATGCTCAAAGTACAAATGTCACTCCAACCTAAACGAGCAATGGTATAAAACTGTTCCCAGTCGGCTCTGTTTATGAGCCATTTGGGGACACATGGTGGACACTCAGTTGCTGTGGTTGTGCTCAAAACTACGGGGAAGTGGTCACTTCCGTACGGATTACTGATGACTTTCCACTGGAGTAGAGGCACAAGAGATGGAGATACTATGCTTAGGTCTATGGAGGAGTAGGTATTATTAGCTAGATCATAAAAGGTTGGTTCTTTTCGATTTAAAAGAACAGTTCCTTCTCGCACTCGACGAGAGAAGGAACTGTTCCATCAGTCGACCTCGCACATTGCAACGAGAATCCCCCCATAGCCTGCTATGTGCATTGAAGTCTCCAAGAAGAACACAATGCTCTGGAAGTTCATCAATTAAAGAGTGTAAATCACTTTTTTGCAGCTGATAGCTAGGAGGTATGTAAATAGTGCAAATTGTGATCAGTTTATCAAAAAGAACCACTCCAACAGTTACTGCCTCAAGGGATGTTTGGAGTTGTAAGTGTGTGCATGCAATCCCTTGATTCACTATAATGGCAACACCTCCGGATGATGTCATGGCATCATCACGGTCCTTTCGGAAAATAACGTATTTACGAAGAAAGTTGATGTTTTGAATTAAAGTGTGTTTCTTGTACACACAGCACTTTTGGTGAGTGTTCATGTAAAAGTTCTTGGATGTCGTCAAGGTTTCTGAGAAGGCCCCTGTCGTTCCATTGTATAATTTGAGTGTTCATGGTGAATGTAAAACAGTGCTGTATGTACGAAAAGCGAGTGGCTGTTTAGACAGGGAGTTTGAGTTCACGTAACAGGGTCGTCACCAGGCCCTGTTATCTGCTTTTTTGTTTTCTTGGCGCGCTCCAAGGAGCCTCGCCGCTCTTGGGCACCAAGGGTACCGACGTATCCATTGCCTCCTCGGAGGCAATTGATGCCCGCACGTGCGAGCTGTTAGTTCGAATTTTGGGCCTCGTCTGGTGAGGTGAAGCCTTGAGACCTAAGGACTCTGGAGTCTCCGGTCTCTGTTCGTGAGTGGGCGGTGTTGTCTGGACTACAGCCGCCTTGGGGGCAGGTGCCACAACCGCCGGCTCACTATGCGCGGGCCGAAGGAGTGACGAGGGCTGGTGCAGCGGTGCCCACTGACGCGCCGCATCAGCATATGTAGGTCCATGGAATGGTGCGACTCTTCGCCGTGCTTCTTTAAATGATATGTTCTCCTGCACCTTCAAAGTAATTATCTCTTTTTCTTTTTTTCCGGTATGTGCAGGAGCGTGAATATGCAGCATGGTTTCCTTCACAGTTTACACAGTGTGGCGGTTGTTAGCAGTTCTCAGACATGTGGCCTAGGACTCCGCATTGTGCACAAGTCTGGCGACCACGACAGCTTTTAGAGTTATGGCTGTACCTCTGGCATTGGAAGCAACGACGAGGGTTTGGTATGTACGGCCTGATAGATGTTTTCGTGTACCTTGTTTGAATAGATTCTGGTAGTTTACTGGATGCAAACGTGAGTATTAAGTGTTTCGTTGGTGTTTCCTTATTATCTCTCCTGATGATAATTCTCTGTACATTAGTGACATTTTGGCTCTTCCACCTCTCCAAAAGTTCAGTTTCGGTCAGGTCAAGTAAGTCTGCGTGAGACACCACTCCGCGAGTTATGTTCATTGATATGTGTGGTGTTACGGTGATCGGTACGTCACCAAAGTTGGGGCTGTTTAGCTTCACAAATTGTTCTTTGTCCCGAATTTCGAGAAGAAGGTCTCCGCTAGCCATTTTGGTTACTTTGTATCCAGCCACGAGAGTGTCAGTAAGACACCTGGCAACTACGAAAGGAGATGTGGTCCTGGCTTGCTTTCCAGTTTTTTTACAGTGGATGACATGAAAGTGAGGAAATGTTTCAATTGGGCTTTTGAAAAAGTTTATGTCATGGGTGCGTACCCGCTTCAAGCCGGTACGATCAGTAAGTGAGGGGAATGCTTTATGCATGCCGGTTTTATTTTTATTCAGCAGCGTTGGGGACCACCCACCATGGAGCCCAACAAGGGGACGCTACAAGCTCGTAAATACTAAAAACTTGCCGACGCCAGCCGTACAACGCCACTATAACCCAATGCGCCTAGACAGACCAAGGTAGGCTATTTGCACAGGGTTAACCCTCGCCGCCAGGAAAATTGGAAGTAAAAGGAAGAAACAAGAAGACAGAAAAGATAAAAAGTGGTGGCAAAGACGAAAATGTAGAGAGAGAGGGAGGTATAGGAAAAGGGGACTGCCGATTTCCCCTGGCTGGGTCAGTCCAGGGGCGCCATCTACGTGAAGCCGGGGCCAAAGGGTTGTGTTGCCTCTGCCAAAGGGTTGTGTTGCCTTAAAGGTCTAATCACACGGCATCCGCTCAACCCCCAGGATCACCTTTTCCCCTGACACGGTACAGCCACACATGACTAGGCATGGGAAGGAGTCGAAACCCCCTCGTTATCACGGGACCGTGGTGTCGCTACACACCACGCCTGCGTAAGCAGATGCCCCTGCGGGGTCGTTGTCCAACGAGAGCAAGTGCGAAAGGTGTGTGGTACTCGCCGCTTGCAAAACAGATGCAGTGTTGTTTATCTTTCTATCTCTCCCTGATCGTTGCCAATGCTTTATGTTTCATCATTATGCCTCGTTAGCCAATTTTCCGCATTTTTTACTTACCTTCAGCTTGTATTACCGACGAGCACATGCACACTTAAATTATGTGTCGAGCTGTCTGATAACTTTAGTGTAGTTTTGTTTTGTTTTTTTTTAAAGGAGAGATGATCCCTCTACCCCCCGACTTCTTGAGTAATCCCCCTCTCCCTCATCGACGAAAACCCTTATACCACGATTTCACATCGACAATCTCCTTTGTGCCGTGTGTGCGACAAGAAGATGCAATAGCTAAGGTCCCTAGATGAAACAAGTTTCCAAGGTAGCAACACCTTTCCCTTTTCTCCTTGCCAATGTTTCTGGAGCGCCCCCAAGAAGGTTCAAAACTTTAATGAAAAAGCGAATGTTTGGGTCCAGCTGTTACGGTGAATAGATGTAAATGAAACAAAATTGAAGGAAACAAGTCATAAAAAAAATGGTTACCCTTATGAACATTAACGGTACAACACAAGAGCAAGCGGGATGTGCGTTACTCAACTGGCAACGTTGTGCAGTTTTATATTTTACACCCCTAGCCAAGGCGTCTCGCGTCGTACATCGTAGTTCGTCCAGTTATAACTAGTCCACTTCTCCGAATGTGTTTTGTTCATGCTGTAACACAGTGAATGCGCTTCTTGCTGGATCCTGTCAGTGCCCACAGGGCGCGGCGTTGTGACGAGTGATTACAGCCGGCTTGAGCACACGCAAGAAAAAACCACGGCCAGACTAGTATGAACCCTTGACTAGCAGCGCTGCCATGACGGTTCTCATGATACCAGGTGATTCTGATGCGGTGCTCGGAACTTCCTGAAAAGTGAGAGTTCTACTGGTGAGGTGTCTCAAAGCAGTGCGTTTCAGCTCAAGCAGGAGCTGGTCAAGCGTGAAATGCTTCTAAATGTGTGTTGATTACACCCTCCAGCTGCTCTATATGCGTGCATACGCACAAGTATTTGTACCAACTGGCATGCACTAGACGCGCATTCGACGCTCGCCTGACGTTTCAATAAAAACTGACAAATAAACTCGCTTCGCTGATCCGTGTCGACGTACGTCAACGGAGTTGCACGAAAGCATTCGCGTGAAATATTTCATAGTTGCACTTCACGGTGTGCTTCATCCTGAAAAGCACAAGGTAAGTTGAAGAGAGCGAAATCGTTTTCTGTTGTTTCACGGCAACGCAGGATTGTTGAAAAACGTGGATGTTGCATTGAACGAGCACCGCAAAAAAATCTTGGTCGACTTGGCACACACTTTGGTCACGGCGAGAATCCAGCTGGAGTCATATGCGCATGTGTACTTGTTCTGAACCTTTTAATAATGATAAATAACATCACCATTTATTGGCGAAATCACGTGCAAGGAATGGACCAAATACAGACGCGAATGGCAGAGAAAAGGAGGGGCAATCGTGAGACTGAGGAGGACGGCTCGAGAACAATGAGTGACGCTACCTTGGAAACTTGTTTCATCTAGGGACTTTAGCGATGGCAGGGTCGCTGCGCTCCTACTGCCGACGCGTGGCGAAACATACTCAGAACTCTACCATTGTATTCGCGACGGTTGAGAAGGCCGTAAGGAAACAAGCACACGCAGCTGCAGTCTATCCCAGCCGTGCTTGTTGCTACGAGTCGTGTGCCTACTCAGCGTCCCTGAACACAAATTACTGTCTATGCAGACGTAGCAAATGGTACGCAATGTTATTCTTCAAACACGCTGTCATTCGAAAGCGGTCATGCAATTGTACCTGCTCGGCGAGTTCGGCGGGCAAGGGTACCCTTCGGCACACCGTGGATCCGCCGGGTGCCGGTGCGGCAGCGCAATACGGGTCTGCTGGGTAGTCCCGGTCCTGGAGGCCACTGCAGCTCGGCAGAGGGCCGTAGGCGGCGAACTGGTCGACGAGCAGCGGATACGCGCTGTCCGACTGCAGGGCGCTCTCAACGAGCTTCACGGCACTCTTCAGGCCACTCGGGCCACCCGATGATTCGGCTGACGAGCACAACAACGGGGCCATCTCGCCTCCAACAAAACGCGTCTCGGTGGACTTCTACGCGCGGGCTGTCACTACCATGTGCTGCACCAGCATAACAACGCCGTTCGAAACGCCGGCACCACAGAACACGCCGCCACGCACACACGCGCGCGCGCACTCCGGCGGCAATGATGATGATAAAGCAGAAACGCGTCGACTGGATTCTGGTAGTTCTAACTGTTTTTGCAACAACCTTTATACTTTCAAAACCACATGCAAAGTATGCACGATTTAAAGCTTCATTGAAGGAGAAAGTATTGTAAATTTACCAGGGGGTTTTCTACAATATTTACTAGGAGAGCTGTTTTACGCGAATGCCCAGAGGTGTGCACCTTGGGTAAAGTGAAGTAGAATAGGGTAATGGGCTCTAGAGGTGTGTAGAGGTGTGTGCCGACTGGTCGGCGCGTCGCCACCGAGAGTTTTCGCCACGTCGACGCGAACTGTTCGGCGTGCCGCCGCCGCCGCCTTTTTCTTTTTCATCTTGATTTATAGCTTCGTTTCACATTTATGTAGCCAGTAAAAAACAGGCTTCTTATTTATCTTCATCCAGCTTCACAGACCGAGAGTACCACTATGAACAGCGGCACAAGTTCGGCGGCCGCTGCATGATGTGACATATTGGACAAATTGACAAAAAATAAATTTAACAGTTACAGCAATGCTGAGACGCTGCCATCTTAGACTTAAAATCAAGTTTTGCTGGTTTTCTATGTCGTAATTAGCAATGATTTTGGTCGTACAACGTTGAATGTACTGGCCCAGCGGGTTGATGCATGTGAGTTCACCGTAGCACTATTCGATATTCATGTGGATGTAAAACGGCATCACAATCAGTCCAAAATGGCAGCCTATGATTGTGCCCAAAACAGGGCGTATACACAGAAGAAATGAAATGGTAGCAGTGCAGCACGAATGCAGCGCGTTAGGTGAAGAACTACACAAAGCCCCGAAGGATGAAATATAAAGAAGTTTAATGGAGATTAGAAGCGTCGAGGCATAATGCATGCTCGAACCTACTCAGGGTATATCATCACCTGTCCGTGGTGTTAAAGTTGATAATTTTCGTGGATGACCACTTTTATGCAGCGTCTCAACACGCTGCGGAAAATATTTGATGCCTTTTAATTTAGGCATCAGATATCCGGGATGAAGATGCCAAGGCAGTAAGATGGCAAGAGAGAGAAAGGAAGGCTGGGGGATTAAGCAGATCTTGGCATCCGGTTTGCTGTCCAGCACTGGGGGTGGAGAAATAGGGGCAAGAAAGGGGGTGTAGAGAGACAGAAAAGAAAACGCTTGTGCACTCAGGAGGGGGATGGCAAACTTAACAGAGGATTTATTACATTCTGTACAGACAGGGCGAGAGATCTCTTGCGAATGAGCTGGGTGGCTCATTATAAAGTATGCGTTTTGACTAAATCAGTGAATGGGTCCAGAATGCGCTGTTGAATCACGGGAGACACACACCATTTCTGACGGTGCCGCTCACACTCGCTCACGTCAACGTCTTTGATTGGGGCGTGGCCACCATGCTGCACCTGTGACACCAAGAAACCGCTGTGGTCGTCACGTCCAACGTCTTATGGTGTCGGAATGCCACCTCACTTCCCGGCTAAGATGGACAAAACACGGCAGGCAGCCCTTCGGTGACTTGTTTGACGAACAAAAAACGCCACTCTCCCCCGTTGGCCCAGGCGCCGCGTAACAACGCTATGCAAGTGGTGAGCAGAGGCGTAATAAGCTTGTCTGAGGCCACCAGTTAACCCAGGCGCCGCGTAACATGCAAGTGGTGAGCAGAGGCGTAATAAGCTTGTCTGAGGCCACCAGTTAAAAAAAACAAAATAAACTAAAAAAAACTTGCCAGCAAAAAGTGTACAGAAGACGGCTGGATTCGTCAATAATGCGGAGACAGACACTTGAGCGACATGTCATATATGACGTACTCCAGCAAACATGTTTTCATCACGTACCTTGAACGGACCTTCTGGCACTGTGAAAGATGAATAATAATTGTTGCGGACAGTGGTGATGTACTTGTTTTGCGAAGGTAATGCTCAAAATTAACCAAATAAATCTTAACTTTATATTCAGGTCTTGGTTAAAAATTTAGTCAAGTTAGAAAGCTCCTCAAGTGGCTAAGTAATAAATAATGCAACCTCTGTATAATTGATATTCAATTACGTGACTGCAATCAACGGTGTGTCGACGCTGTAAAACTGGAACGTTATCTGTGGACACGAGCGGGCGAATGCAGCGGAGAACGAATGTGTCACGTAATAAAAGCGATGTGATGTCGGACATATTCGCCTGTACAACTCTGTGCGCTTTTGCTTGCTCGTGATGTATTCGAAGGAGCTAGCCAAGTCTCGGGTAGAAGTCGAGCAGAGTAGCCGGGGCTGATAAGAGGAAGGTTTATATACACTATTTACACACTAAAAGTAGCTATATGTTGATGGTAGCATCATGGAAGCGTGATGGGAGCTTCTCAGGGATGGTTCAGAGTGTCTTGGTGCTCACACTTTACGCCCTGGTCTTCCTAAAATTATCAGCAGGAGAAAACAGTGGACAGTTTGCAATAATCTGCTAGGCAGCTTTTCTGTAAGGTTAGTTTTTCAACCAAAAACTCACGTTCACAGGCTGCTTTTTTCGCTCATTTCGTTTTTGCCATTCCTTTTTTTTTTTTTTTGAGATCTTGTTGTGCTCGCGTGCCTTCGCTAGAATTTGGAGAGGAGACATTTTGTTGTAGTCGCGTGCTCAAAATGAGAAATAAAAGCAGTCTGTGAACGAGAGTTTTTGGTTAAAAAACAAACCTCACAGGAAAGCCACCTTGCAGATCACTGTAAACTGACACCCTGCATGTCAATTCAGTTCAGGACAGTCCGAACAAATTGTCGTCTTCATCACCGTCCGCCCAGGGGGGGGGGGGGGGTAGTGGTTATAAGAAGGTGCCTGATTTCTGCAGCCCAGCAGGGAGCAGCGAATAATGATTAAAAAAACGAGAGAGGGAGAAAGAGAGAGAAAGTCAAACGCTGCAGCCTTCTTTTCAACCCAGGGAAGAGAGAAGGTGCACGTTCAGTTTGTCACACGGCGAGAGAGAAACATGATCCAATCTACAAACGTTCGTATTTAACGAGCATGACGGTACGAAGGCATGGAATTGGGTTCTGCGGCTTGTTGTAACACATGTGCCACTCCAGGACACCTTTATTACGTGACATCGGAATCTACACTGAGCTTGATCTATGATTATGTACCTAATCAACGGAGAAGAGGTGCTAAGCTCCAGATTCATTATTAATGTGGCTTCAAAGACGAGAAAGCAGCACGGTTCGTGAGCAATCGAGCACCCGTTCTCTCTCTCTATTGCGTTGAAATGCTTGTGCCCTGAGATGCCACTTCAGTTTTTTTCTTGAATAAATGTGGCAATTGGGATAGTTGTGAGCGCTAAACAAGACGTTAAGAAGAACGAGAGAGACAGGATGGGTGCTTGTGAAAGTCGTGAGGAAGCATTAGTTTGCGCTAAAAATTTCTCAATGAGCCATCTGTCTGGATTTCAAGTTTTGTTAAAATGTACGATGACACAGACCATGGGCTTTTGTCATGTCATTTGCTACCAATTAAACAGCGGCTGCGTAATTTAGGGTACCATGAAAACTCTCGCAGCCATATTTCAAGAAGGAAGGAGGCAGAAACGCACCGTTCATGCCGTACATGATCCTTCGTCACTCGCGGAAATAAATTTATTGAAGCTGAAACGTGGTCGAAGGATTCTTTTACCTCTCGGCAATCAGAGAGGCTTTTAATTCTCGAGCCTCTTTGTGAGATATTGCTGCCATCTTTTTCCAACAGGCCTGCAGTTCTGTTGTACCGACACAACATAGCAACGCCCGTGTTTTTGTAGATTTTTTTCATTCCCATTTAAACACTTTTCCATTCATAGTCGCATCTCTGAAGCGCGTAAGAACTTCCTGTCGTCCTTCACCCATCATTGCGTTTTTTCCAGTCCACACTGCAAAAGGCTTGATGGTTAGGTCGTTCTCCACGCTCAAGTTTCTCGTACCCAATCTTTTGCGCTCTTTGTGCTCTTCAAGGAATGCAGAAAGACTACAAATCGCAACGAGCTCTACACCGTGCCTTCGGGACTGGTATGGGGCAAACATGTTGCGAGTGGTGTTTCAGTTTCAGTTTTTGTCAGTTTTATTGAGCATTTTCTTCACAGAGTTGCGAAAAAGAAAACGCAAGAATAGGAGCAAAAAGCTGCTATATTAGCAGCTTGACGAGGCTCCTACCCCTTTTCACTTGGCATTACAAAATCAGCAGAGCACAAAACATGAAAAAACAATTTGACGTCGATTTTCAAAACTTCAATAAATTAGGAAATAAAAAGAAAATGCATCAAAATTACATCAGTTTCAGGTTTACATAAAATAAGCAAACCACATAGAGAGAAAAACAACAAAAAACAAAAGAAAACAGCGTGCGGCCAATCATGAAACAATGCACACGTTGCTAAACGGCTACCAAAGTATTACAAAATGATTATACAACGTTTACAACACTGGGTATGCGAAAAGCACGAGTTTTAATGCACAAGGGAAACACTGACGAGTGAAATGTTGTATGTTTTACTCGTAAAAAAAAAGCAACGAAAAAAAAATGTCAAAGAAAGCAAACATTATACGATGCCATGTTACACAAGCACTATTATAGGGTGTTTCTTTTACATATAGTACTGTAGCCGGACAACTAGAAGATGCTAAACTACACGGCGCCATTTTGGATGAGAAGGTTCTTAAGTTGTTTTTTATGTATATTAAAGATGTCGATGTTTTTATTTTCAAACAAGTTAAAACAAGCTGGAATACAGTGTTCAAGTCTTCTCAAACCGTGATTAGTTCGCGAATAAGGAACAAACCAGGAAGGCCTTTTCCGAATGTCATAATAGGATTGTGTATTTTTCTGAGGTTACACAGTTTAAGAAAACAAGCGTTGTTTGATAGCAAGCTTTGTTTGTATTTCATAATAAGGTTGAAACTGTGTATGTGATAGATGGGTGAAATCTTATATTCTCTGAATAAGTGACTTGTATGTGCGTCGTATGGTACGTTTGCAATATGACGAATCGCTTTTTTCTGCAGTAAAAATATTTTGTTCCGATTTGCTTTAGATGTATCTGCCCACACTAGACTACAATAGTTTATGTGAGATAAAAACAACGTATTATAGAGTAAAAATTTAATGTTTGCTGGAAGTATCTGTCGAAGTTAGAGAGAGCACCACACGTCCTAGCTATATT